AGAGAGAGAGAGAGAGAGAGAGAGAGAGAGAGAGAGAGAGAGAGAGAGAGAGAGAGAGAGAGAGAGAGAGAGAGAAAGAGAGAGAAAGAGACAAGTGCATAGAGAGAACGGGGGATAGAAAAAGCAAATAGTAGTCGTCATATAAAAAAGGAAAGTGCATACTGCACTTCATCGACGCCAATTCACATTCGGAGATGATGGAATTATCGGTCCCGTCCAGCAACACAGCTAAAGCCTACGATGAACCAGAAAAATAACACAAAACAGAAACCAAACGTGACAGGAGGAGTCATCCACCCAATCGGACGACCACCCACTTCCCTGGCCAGCATGGCCAACTAGGGACCGCCTCGTCGACGACGGCTCCACATCGTCATGGAAGCCACAGTGCTAAGAAGAGAGGAGGCACGGACTCTACCGCTCGCGGATGGCCTTCGCTATCTCCATCAGAGCATTGCATATAAGTCTGCTCACTTCGTCGGACGCTGCGTAGTGCTGTTTCTGCAATTCTACCTCTGCTTCAAACGCCTCGCACTGCCGTATGGCGATGGAGCACTGATGCTTGCTGTTGCTCTCCATCGTCGACGCCATTAGCGACCGGTGCTTGTCCATACAATCCATCATCGCTTCGAAAGTTTGCTGCCTCGTGCTCTTCCTCTTGCCGAAACTGCCTGGGCCACCCGTCGTTTGAGAAGAACCTTTCGTCGATCCGTCATAGTCTTCGTCCTTCCCTGCACCACTGTCCCTGTCGCCCACAGATTCAGGATCCCCAAAAGAGGCGGACGGGAGGCGCACACCACCCGGAGCACCAATGTCGACAACGTTCTTGGGGTTGATGGTGTGGTTTTTGGCGGTCGACCCTAGTATCTCATCGTAAACTGCACGATCCATGTTGAAATTGAAGCCCTTCGACGTCCTCTCCTTCCCAGACAATTGGAAGAAGTCCTGTTTCCCGGACAAGTCTTGGAAGCGATGCACCTTCTTGAACTGCTGCATCAAATTGTCCCATTTCTTCCCGCACTGATCTGCGTCTCTGTCGACGCCCACCTTCTTCAACCTCTGCGCCACATCGAGCCACTTCCATTCTCTCGGCTTCATCCGAGCATACGCGTGACCCATCCCCTGCATATGAGCATCCTGGTCACTTTAAGCCCGGATGAGGGCTATAATGTCGTCGACGGACCAGAACTGACGACCTCCTTCCGCATCAATGTCACCTTCGGCGTCGCTCCCTTTGGCCGCTGCTTTTTTCTCCCGACGAGCATTGCGGGCACAGGCCTTCGTCTTCCCGCCCCTCCATCCCATCGCGACAACCTGATTGGACGGCGAAACATAGCCTGCCTCCTCCTCCTCACCTTCGCCGTCGTTGTCGTTCCACTCGTGATCGTCCGCGTCCAGCACTGGTTCCTCGCCGTCGTTTTCATGGTCACCCACATGCAGTCGCTGCACCACCCGAGTTATGGACTCCTCCCGCCCCGACCGCAGCAGCCGTCGCTGTTCTGCCCACACCTCCCTCCGTCCCGTGCGTCACCAAGATCGGCGATGCCACGATCCGTCTCCCCGCATTCGGCACGACGGCGGCCTGCACTCGAACCGTCGGACAGGGGAGACGGAGACTGCATCCACTGAGGGGGAACGAAGGCAGCCCTGGACACAGACGGCGACCGGAATTGCTGCGTCGGAGGATCCCTGTTGTTCCCCGTCGCCTCCCACGACGGCGTTGGTGACCTGGATGATCGCGCAACAGCCGTCACCTGACCGCCGTCTTCGTCGGGATGGGGGTTAACGATGACTGTTCGAGAGCCGGGCGACGACCTACCGCTACACAGTTGAACGAAAGATTCACGCCGCCATCGCCTTCGTCGCTGCCGATGCCCTGCTGGAGGAGTTCGGTGTAGGACCGCCCACAGCCGCCGTCGCGGCTCCCACACAGCTGCGTGGCCGACCACTCCTGGGTGGATCCACTTCCCAGCGGCACGGTTCGTGGACGTCTCTCATCCGCCTCCTCGTCGGACGTGTCCGGCAGCGGTTGCGATTGCGGTGGTAGGTGCGCGTACGCAGACCGGCCCGACGACGGCCGTGAAATCTCAGGCGGCCTGGGGCCACCCCGCTGCCCACCAACCTGCTCGCCTGCAGACCTGCTGATCGCCTGCCGCCCCTCCATCCTGATGTCTCTCTTCAAAGAGCGTCTTCTGCGACCACGTCGAGGAAGGCTGCCAAGGATGCACATGTGGAAGACAACCAAGAGGAGGAGCAACAGGACGACCAGCACCAGCAGCGGCAGCCTACGAAAGACGTCGGCCATGAAAGGCACGTGGACGGCGGCAGCAGCTAGAAGACAACGGTGTACCTTTGTGGTAACGGCGAGGGACAGTGCTGCGAAGGCCCGATCGCAGCTATCGACAAAATCACCGTAACGTATTTCATCGCGGAAGACACTGCGCAATCGGGACGGCGGGGGCCGCCTGAAATATTCGAATATGCTGACCATTGGGCGCCTTCCCGCTCGGAGCCAAGGGCAGCGATGCAAGACGGCCCTTTTTCGACGTCGCGGAGGCCGGCAGACCACCAACACCGACCGTGGTGGCCAGTTCCATGACGCCGACCGTTGCCGACCGAAGATGTCCGTCCAAAACCGCCAGGAACAGCAATGGACCACGCCACGTCGGAAAATGTCGTCGAGAGAGCTGCCGTCGACGCCCCGATTCTTCCGGATGCTCGACCTCCGAGGGACCTCGAGAGGTCCCTTGGGGAACGCGTCGGAATGGCTGTAGCCCAAGGAATCCCCGAGGATTTGTTTTCACATTTTTTTTTCAATTTGTTCCCCGAGGATAAGTGGAACGATCATTTCCTCGGGGGATTTACGCGCCCGAGGAGTGTTGAACGAGCCCCTCAGCTAGTTCAAGGCGAAAGGGCAAGGGTAGGGGGCGTTGTAATCGAGAGATGCGGTTTTTCCGTTGTTTTTTTGAAAGGAAAAAATGTGATATCGGTCCTTATCGGATGCCATCGCAAGAATAAGAAAATCAACGGCGTGATTTCCAATACAGATTGCATCTCCAATGTAGTGCGGCGTCACTTTTGGTCGAAAACCCAACGAGGATCTGGCTCTTTTTTTTTTTGGAGGGGGGGGAGGACAATGCTCCATTCTATTCGTGGGGAGCTGCATATGCTGGGAACCGGGCCCAACGTCCCATTAGGAACATTTGGAGAACACATACGGAGAAAACTCGAGATAACGGGGCCATTACCTGGCTTAGGCTAAGAATAGGATCATGAGCAAATTCTAGCCTATTAGACAACAGACCTCATGAGATAGTGGCTCAATGCTGCTACCCTCTTCCCCCGAACATAACGCACCCTAAAAATGAATGTATACAAGCTATATTCCGGCCAGATACAGCCAAAATGAGGGTGCGTTGTGTTCGGGGGAAGACNCCCCCGAACATAACGCACCCTAAAAATGAATGTATACAAGCTATATTCCGGCCAGATACAGCCAAAATGAGGGTGCGTTGTGTTCGGGGGAAGACGGTGGTGGGACAAGGTCCCCGAGCCCCCAACTTTTTAGGAGAAGGCTACTAGATGGGCTTTGTGTTTGCCAGTGAAAGGTAGGGATGTTTAAAAAAATAAAAAAAAAAATAAAAAAAGGAAAAAAAAAGAACTCTTTGGATCTGAAAGCAGAATCTGGGATACATTTGAGAGTATGCCCTCCCAGCAGGCGTTACAACCCAAAAAAAAAAAAACCTGTTGTAATCACGCCAGTAGCAAATAGGAAAAAGGAAAAAGGAATGCAAATAAGAAAAAGGAAAAAGGAATGCCGTTGGTCCGCCCGAGTGGCATTGAGCAGAGACTGTTCATGTTCCTAGGGGGAAGGGACCGGAGGGGAGGCACAGTGACTGGCCCATCGAAGAACCTCAGTCCTGATGCTACTGGCTGACCCCTGGCCAGTACCGTCCACCTGCTGTAGCAGGTATCTCACCTGCTGGTGGGTACAGCTCCCGCATGTTCCCTCGTTGCAGGCTTGAGCACATATGTGGCTGCTACGGGGCTCCCCATAAAAAGGCCTGAAAGGCCGTCCTGTCCAGATTCTACAGGTAATTGAATTGGTTTGGCACCACTGGTGCCTTTGCCAAGGCCCCGGGTGAGTGTCCGCCGATCAGAATTTATCACCAGCGGCCAATCAGATTTATCAATCGCAGCCGCCTCCGACTTTTTAGGAGTTGCAAAAACTGCCAGTTTTCCTTATTTTCCCAACACTGGTGGCCCTACTAGTGGTAGCCTTTAAAAAAAATAATAAAAAAATAAAAAAAGAGGAAGAAGAAGAAAGAAACAACTCTTTGAACATGAGAGCAGCTCGTATAAGAAAAAAAAAAAAAAAAAAAAAAAAAAAAAAAAAAAAACACGGGGAAAAAAAAAAAAAAAAAAAAAAAAAAAAAAAAAAAAAAAAGGAAAAAAAAAAAAAAAAAAGAGCAGCTGGATACAGAATCTAGAGTAGATCTGAGAGTGAGCACTCAACGTGTCTGTCTGTGGAATGCACCCAGCCTGGTTAGGCCCTAAAACTAGATCAGAAGAAAACGAAAGGGGAAAAAAAACGAATTTAGGAATGATTCTGGGTAGATGCATTCCTGTTGACGGTCTCACTAACCAAAGGATTGGATAAGAGGTGGGACAGTGCTGAAAAGTCCATTGCCACTGTGGTGACACGTGGTGTCTACAGGTGGGTACACAATCTGACTGTGATTTTTTTTGTGTTTTTTATTTGGGAAACTACACTATGGGCCTCGCTGCACTACTCATGAAATGTGCTTTTTCATGAGCTGCGCATAGCTGCACTTAGGGCACGCGAAACGGAAAACGAAACGAGTGCATCTTCCTGCAGAAAATGGCCAGGTTCATGGGTTTGCTGTAAATAATAACGAGTGTATTTTGCCACCTTTTGTGGGCAGATGCACTCGTCTCTTTTTTGTTTTGTGGGCTGTGCGGCTAGACCCTTACTCGTGGATTGGGCATCAAGAGCTGTCAGATGTAAGGGCCTCACCGCACCACAGTCGAAAGGCCAAAAAATTCGACGGCTGTCAGAACAAATTCGACAGCCTCCATTGGACAGTTTGCCCCCCTTTAGCCACACAGCACTGTACAGTGCACGCACTTGTGAATGCAAGATGGAAAAAGACGAACGGGCCGGAGGGTAAGACAAGCATTAGTCCATCCCGACCTTACCCCTCCTCATCCTTACCCCTCCTCATTTCGTAGCAGGCTGGGGATTCAACAACTTTAGAAGCATGCTCTGACAACTGGAGAATTTTTTTCCCGTCTCCGACTTCGACAGCTTGTGTGGCGAAGAGAAACTGCTGAAAATTGCATTTTCGACAGTGGTGCGGCGAGGCCCTAACTCTTGCAAACGTCAAGAGTTGTCTTCCCTGCACCACTCTTGCCTTGTCGCTTCCCTGCACTACTCTTGCCTTGTCGCTCGTGAAAGCACATTTCACGAGCTGTCAGGGCGCCGTCGCACGAAGTCATCTAGAGCACTCTTGATCGCCTGCCTGCAACCTTGGTTTTCGCAAGGGTGGTCGGACGGTTTCTTGAAATTGAAAGGGCACGGGATTTCTAGAGCGAGCCTGGGTCTGGGCGGACAAATCACGCTGCACTGCACTCTAGGATAGACTGTGAGGACCCCAGCCTCGATCTTCTTTTGGTAATATAAGCCTTGGGCACTGGGCCCTCTTTTTTAAGAAAAAATAAAAAAAAGAAAAAAAAAGAAAATCAAA